GTATGTAAGTATGTATGTAAGTATGCGGGCATAGCATATATGTACTTATGTATGTAGGTATGTATGAATGCATGATCCCAAACCCTAAACCGTAAACCCTAAACCCTACACCCTACACCCTAAACCCTAAACGGGTGTATCGCGCACTTTCGGTCTGGTTTGCGGGCTTAGGACGGTTAAGGTTCAGGGTTTAGGGTTTTGGGTTTAGGATTTTGGGTTTTGGGTTTAGGTTTTAGGGTTTTGGGTTTAGGGTTTAGGGCTTAGGATGTTCACCCCAAGCCGTTTTGCGGAGCAGTTGCGTCTGAAGAGCACACTACAGCAAACTAGCCAGCGACCCGAGGCCTCAAACCCTCGACCCCTAAACCCTAAACCCTAAACTCTAAACCCTAAGCCTGAAACCTCTCTATCATATAGTATTTAAACCCTATTACATTCGTGGTTCAAGGCAAGCTGGCCCCCCCAACCTTCGGAAACTCGTGGTTTAAGGCCAGGCCGGCCTTAAACTACGAATGGTCCAAGGGCGGGGGGGGGGAGGGATTCGTGGTTTAAGGCCAGAGGGGGTACCCCGACCTTCGGAACTTCGTGGTTTCGGGTTTAGGATTTAGGGCTCCGGGCTGGCTTTAGGGTTTAGGATTTAGGGCTCGGGGCTGTCGGCTGGCTTTAGGGTTTGGGGCTCAGAGCTGGCTTTAGGTTTAAAATTTAAGTTTTCAGCCCTAGGGATCCTAAGCCCTAAGCCCTAAACCCTAACCCTCAACCCTAAACCCCTAAACCCCAAACCCACACCCCTAAGCTCTAAACCCTAAACCCTAAACCCTAAGATCAATATCTACTCCGGTGAGGTGGATGTGTTCATCAGCCACTCATGGAGTGCTGGGCGCTGGGGCAAGACCTTAGCGGTGTGCTTCCATCTGAATCCTGGGTTTGGAGTTTAGAGTTTAGGGTTTAGGGTTTCGAGTTTAGGGTTTAGAGTTTAGGGATTTAGGGTGTAGGGTTTAGGGAGTACCATGCTTTAATACTGGTTTGTTGGACTTGTTCCTTCCCATTATGAAATAAAGCAAGTCTAGGAATGGATGTGTTGCAGTGAAATCCGCTTTGGCAGCAGCAGTTGCTGGACCTCTGTGCCTTGCAGCTACGGGCGATGTTAACAACCTCGTGAGCAACCCCTACCTGCTCCTCCTGGCAGTGGACTTGCCAATGCTGGTATTCTTTCTCAGCTTCTTCTTTGCTCACGTGTGCAGATGCGGATGCGCTTCCCCAACTATGTGGATCGATTCGTTATGCATCCCCCAGACTAATGAGGGTATGAAAGCAGAGGCAATTTCAATGCTTCCTGCATTTGTAAAGTGCTCATCGGAGATGCTCATCTTGTGGGACAACACGTACTGCGATCGCTTGTGGTGTTGCATGGAGATGTCCCTATTCCTGAAGAAGGGTGACCTCTCCAAGCTTCACGTTGTACCTGTGTGGCTAGCGCCGTGGCTTCTTTGTACGATGTTCCTGGATTGGTTCTGCGCGCGGCTCACATTGCCTATAGTCTTCTTTTTGTGGAGCGGCGGGCAGGGGGGAGATCTGGCAACGGACTCCCGTTGGGGCATCGTTGCAGTATGTGTACAGCTCTGGGGTCTCCTTCTACTTGCATACCTACCGGCACTTCTTCCCGCACTTGTGTCTGGGTGTTCCTTAGGAATGATTTGTTTCATGATTTCATGTCAATATAAGCGCGAGGGATTATTCAACATGTTTTATTTTGGGTCAAAGGGTGGCTTACAGGTATCCTTTGTCGCAAAGATCGAGCAGCACCAAGCCATGCTGAAGCAGTTGCAGGCTTTTGACATCCGTTGTGCCAAGTGCAGCGTTGAGGAGGATCGCACGTTGCTGGAGGCTATCGTTGCCCGGGAGTATGATGGGATCGACGACGCCCCGATCAGCGTTGATCTCAGTGCAGATGAGTTCTCGACTTCCCTGGCTGACCCTGCATCTCGTCTTTTGCCTGCAGAGGCAGAAGTCCTCCGAGACGACGCAGTCAGGAGACTCACAAGCTATCCCGGCGTTGAGGAGTGCCTGGAAATCTTCAATGCACAGGTGCGAAACCAACTTTTCAGCGAACTGAGGCGGGATCTCGGTCAACCCCAAACCCTAAACCCTAAACCCTAAACCCTAAACCCTAAACCCTGAACCCTAAACCCTAAACCAGCGAGCTGAGGCGGGATCTTGGAGAGGTGACCCACCTCCCGATAAAGCTGTGCATGCTCGCTATGCTTCCCACGTTTCTCTTCTCGCTTGCAACGGCCTTCTTGGCGTGTGATGGGCTTCCCTGCGACGTTGCTCCAAAGGCATTTGGCTACCCGTCTCTACTGCAGATGTGGACTTCTGATGGCTTGGGCCTCTTATTCATCACATGGCCCGGCTTTCAGAGCATGTTCCCCCTGTTGTTGAGGGTTCTGCGGGCCGCATTGCCGGGCGAGGAAGAGTCAAATGCGGGCTCTTGCGTCATCGCTTGGCTGAGTGGTTTCTGGGTCCTTGTTGGCTAGAACTTTACGTGTCTGTTCTCACAAAACCCAATAAGGATTAAATAGGATCATTGTTAGTCTAGCCTAAACCCTAAACCCTAAACCCTAAACATGGAGAGCCAGGTTTGGGTCTCTACATGTACCTCTTTCTCCTGATGGGTCTCGCAAACGCCCTTCTGACGATCACCATGATCAAACCGCCGTCCTTGCCATGGCTGGCTGGGTTTGGCGCCATCGCGCCTTGGTCCATTTCAGGGATTTTGAGTTCTTACGGTTTTTGAGTTCGAGGGTTAGGGTTTTCTTTAGGGTTGAGGCTTAGGGTTTAGGGTATTCCTGGGTGACCGTGTTATCAGTGAGACCCCTTTAAAGGGGACCCTTCTCAACCCTACTCATGGCTCTCTGAAAAGGACCTTATTGAGAGGGACTAGATCCCCAAGGGTCCCGCTAATCCTAACTCCAGGGTATTGAAGCGGGAGCCCATGGATCAAAGCCCTGATTCTTCAAAGACCCAGGAGCTCTTGCTGTTGTTCCAGTACTTGGCTTGCTTTATGGGCAGCGGTTTCGATTCTCGCCGCTTCTCCTGCCGATGCGTCTGCAGGGCTCCGAACGATAATTCGTGCTGAGAGCAGCGTTCGCGGCGCCAGCTTCCCCAAACCCTTGCAACCCTAAGCCCTAAACCCTAGATCCTAAACCCTAGACCCTAGACCCTAAACCCAAAACCCTAAACCCTCTGGAGAAGCCCGGAACAAAAACAAAAAAGCCACAAACACGTCAAGGCCTAGGGTGTGCAGGGGGCACGCTTGGATCAGGGTCTTCGGTTTAGGGTTTAGGGTTTAGGGTCTAGGGTTGGAAGGGTTTAGAGTTTAGGGTTTTAGGGTTGCCAGGGTTTAGGGTTGCAAGGGTTTGGGGAAGCTGCTGTTCTTGTATCTTGTCTTCCTAGACACCTCCCTCCCAACACCGTGCACACAGCACTTTGTATACCGAAAACCCCAAACCCTCAGAAACCCTACGGACACTAAGATCGACTTAAATACTTAGGCCAAACTTTGGGGAGGTTCATGTTACAACTCTGTGGTTACGAATCCCTGATAAGGTTTTGTGTTTGGAATTGAAAGTCATTTATTTTGTAAGCCTGTACAACATTGATGTGCGCCTTTTCTTATGGCTGGATCGAATTGTGTGACGGCGGGTGTACACCTTCTTTTTGCCTGCGGGCGCCTGATCTCCCTCAGACGAGGGCAGAGACAACGCCTCATCACGGGATTCCGCCTATGATATAGCCTTCCCCATGTGGGGTTGTCCAATCGAGGGCCCTTTTCAGGTCCCCAGGATAGTACGGCATCCGTATAAAAAGGACCCGAAAAGGGACCCTGACTTGGAGCAGTACATGTCTCAGTGTCGTCAAAAGAGCTAAAGCTCGGGTGTAGAGTGTCTCCGCTGTGGGATAGCTGCAAATCCCCAAACCCCTGAACCCTAAACTCTCAGCCCCGAGCCTACATACTAGATCACTCCTAATCCCTGTATGATTACATGTCATACTCATGGAACCTCTTGAGCTCATTCGTGGCATGTTTTGCGTTGTAACTAATGCTTAGTGGCTCAGAGCCAGTTTCAAAACTACTCAGAAACTCGACTGCAAATCTTTTCTCGACCAGGTTCAAGCAAGTCGAAGAGACAAGGCTGTATTGTGATTCAGGCAAAGGATTCGTCGACAAGTTGTGGCATCTTCCCTTCCTGAACCCAAACCCCAAACCCTACACCCCAAACTCTCAACCCTAAACCCCAAACCCCACCTCCTAAACCCTAAACCCTAAACCCCAAAGCCCAAACCCCACATCCCAAACCCTAAACCCGAAACCCCAAAGCCCAAACACTAAACCCCAAACCCCACCTCCCAAACCCTAAACCCTAAACACCACATCCCAAACCCTTAACCCGAAACCCCAAAGCCCAAACGGCCTGGGTTTTTTCTGGCACCTGTTTTTTTTTTAATGCCCTCACCCCGTCCGGACGGAGGGTTCCTTTGGGACAGTGTGCACATCAGGAGTGGTGCAGACGGACGGGTCCAAAAAAAACCTGGAAACATTTTTGGCGGGTTCGAAAGCGATCTCGCAGGTCGAGGGAAGGTCTGAAAAGAACCTGCAAACATTTTTGAGGGGGGGGGGGGTGCGAAATCCACCTCGCGGGTTCGTGACCCCGGTCCGAAGGGCCCTTTTGCTCCCGGTGCGCATGCATACAAAGTCTGCTAGCATCCCTCGAGGGATGCTCCTTGCCGCCAAGGGTTCAAAAGGCGCCCTCCACGGGCTCAGAAAACGCGGCAATGGTTCCTCGATGCCGAGATCCTGATGCGTACCGAGAGTGGTGGCTATCGCATCAGCATATCGGAGCTCGAGCTGCTCTTCGGTGCGCATGCCGTGGTCATGGAAGGACCTCTTCCTGGCGAGTACTGCCCGAAAGTCTACCGTGGAGCCACATGCAAGAGCAAGCGTATGTGCACATGTGGCACCTTTGTCCAGCGGGCTGAATGCGCGCACGTGTATTTCGTTGCAGGCTTGCAGGGTGAGATGGACCTCGGTCACCTTCCTAAGAAGCGGAAGCGAGGGCGCCCGAAAGCAGAAGCTTCCAAGAAGAAAGCGTGTGCGTCCTCGCACAAGTAGCTGCTAGAAGTGCCATTGTGGCATCCGGACATGCAGTGTGACGAGAGAAAAATTCATGTTTTTGCTTGCGCGACCCGTGTGATGTTTCAAGGTCAGCCTCCGCTCGCTGCAGACATACACATGACTCAAGTAGATTAGCCTAGCATTAGGGTTCGCCGACAATGAAAGACCAGATTAGCAGGATAAAGCTATACGAAAGCCTCCCCCGCCGTCTCCGGCACGATGCAGCATTCGGAAGGCAGGGTTTGAAGCCTTTCCAGGGCGCATTGGCTAGAATGCTTCCTCGCCTTGTCTGGTTGTTGACACCACCGTCAACATACTAGAGGTCCCGTCAACATGAAGCAAGGCGTGTCGCTGGACCCCTTGCCTCCCCTGCGTGTGACCCGGAAACAACTGCAACCCCCGGCCGAACCCTGATGGAAAAGGGTCCAGTGTGTTAGCACTGCCTCAAATGTACCGGCTACGGGGATTCCAGGGCTGCGGCCGGTTTGCGTAAGTCCTGCGAGCCGGGGACCCATCGCGCGCGATGAAGGTAGTAGCATGCATGGTAGTAGTCGTGGTCTACGGGGACCCCGGTTCGGCTGGGTGGCATAGTCCTGCGACGGCAGGGTCCGAAAAAAATAGGTACAATGGGGTTTCAGGGCCCGAAAAAAAGTTATGGCAATCACGGCATGAAAGCACCCCTTTCGTGGGTCGAAAAAACTTCGGCCAGCCCAAACCCTAAACCTCAAACCCCACCTCCCAAACCCTAAACTCTAAACCCCGAAGCCCAAACCCCACTGCCCAAACCCTAAACCCTAAACCCCAAAGCCCAAACCCCACATCCCAAGCCCTAAACCCGAAACCCCAAAGCCCAAACCCAGCATTCCAAACCCTAAGCCCTAAACGCCAAAGCCCAAACCCAGCAAACCCAAACCCGAAACCCCAAAGCCCAAACCCAGCATTCAGGGGGGTTCTGGGGGCCCTAAACCCAAAACCCAAAACCCTAAGCCCTAAACCCTGGGCTGCCGTGGCTTTGGCTGAGGTCTGCGGCGATGGGGGCCCTGGTCTTGATGCGAGGCCAGATCTTTAGGGTTTAGGGTTTGGGGCTTAGGGTTTAGGGTTTAGGGTTTGGGGTTTAGGGTTTTAGGGTTTAGGGTTTAGGGTTTAGGGTTAGTGGTTTGGGGTTTAGGGTTTTAGGGTTTTGGGTTTAGGGTTTAGGGTTTGGGGTTTGGGATTTAGGGTTTAGGGTTCAGCAGCTCTGACCTTGAAAATTTCTTTTCAAGCTATTCCAAGAAAACACCCCGCCCGGCCATAGATTCCCCCCCCCCACATTGAGAAACAACACATTTACTTTTATCAAGCAAAATCGAATACATAATTTCACACAAGATACTCGAATACAAACAAAGTCAATATTTTCATGCAGGCTCAACTTCAACACTCGTTTTTATTGCTTGAGTCTGTCACAATATACAAAGTTGTGAATAGTTTAAAGACGACTAGATTTCAATATTCGTTTGTATTGCCCGATGGTCACAATATACTTGATTGTAGACATTACTGCTCAATGTACACCCAGACAAAATCTCGGCTGGACGAGTGGGTACTGGAGGTGGGTGGCTGGATGCTGGACGGCTGGGTGGCTGGACAGGTCGAGATGAGTGGAAGCGTGGCTGCTACTAGCGCTTTGCCCTGCCCTGGCCTGGCTGCCCTGCCACCGCCGCCGTGGCTGCTACAGCGGGGGAGGGAGCCAGGGCATCAAGAGCCACGAGTTTCGATCAAGTGGAGGCTGGGGGGGCAGGGCATCAAGAGCCACGAGTTTTGATCAACTGGAGGGGCGGCTAGGGCATCAAGAGCCACGAGTTTTGATCAACTGGAGCGGGGGGGCCCGAGTTTTGATCAACTGGAGGGGGTCCAGGGCATCAAGAGCCACGAGTTTTGATCAACTGGAGGGGGAGCGAGGGCATCAAGAGCCACGAGTTTTGATCAGCTGGAGCGCCAGGGC